CCTCCCATAGGTTGTCACCAGCTGGAAGATAAAGTCCAAACTTCTTAGCCTGAAACTTAAGGCCTTCTGTGACCTGGCCCCAATCACCCCTCTAGACATGTGTCTCACCATATGTCTCACCATATGTTCTCCCTTGGGAAAGGCCAAGAAGGAAAGTGATTTAGTTACTGCACCAGACTTTGTGTTAAAACACCAGGTTCAAGTCTGAATTCATACTAAGTAGCAGTGAAACTTTGGACTAATCATTGAACTTCTTGTGTTCTCATTGTAATAAGGGGAGTAACATCTGCCCTGCTCATTACACAGCATCAGAGACAGTTGATGGTGGGGATCAAAGAAACAGCGTGCTAGCACATTTTGTGAGCAATAAACGCTACGGGTCACCAACAAACACAATGGGTCACCATACTGCGTGTTCCTGCCTCTGCCCTTTCCCTGTAACCCTTCTTTCTCACTATTCATTCATTCACACATTAAATAATCCAACAAGTGTTAATTGAGGGCCCACTCTGTGCTGGTCCAAAGGATACAGAGGTGAGGAAAATCCAACGTATTCTCTGCTTTCACAGAATACAGGGTCTTGTGGGAGAAAATGGTTGCAAACTGTATAACCACACAAACAAAAAAAAGTAAAACTGTGGCTGTGATTCCAGCTCGGGGGGGTCCACACGGCCCCCAGAAATTATAATGGAGGATCTGGCACTTAAGTTGCCTCCAAGGCCAAGTTCAAAGTCTGCTTTCTCCAGGAAGCCCTTTCTAACAATGCTGCCCCAAAGATCTGCACCCCCTGCCCCACCCTGAACTGCAGTTAACCTCTCTCTCTAGCTCATTTAATCATACCCAGTCAGGCCGTGTGATTTTTTCAAATTGCACCTGGTTTTTCCCAACTTCACTGTAAGTGCCTTCTAGCAGGGAATAGCTGGCACACTCTTAAATTCCACAGATTTAAGCCACAGAAGGCTGGACCCACTGCGTTCCAGGCCCATGTGTCAGGCGCTGTCATAGGAAGGAAGGGTACCCTTCCTGAAAGTGAGCTCCAGGGGAGACAGGAAGCTGCCAAAGACCATCTCCCTGTCCCTTATTCACAATTGAGCACACTAGCCCTGTTCTTCAGAGGAGAAAATCTCTCTTCTTTAGGACAGCCAGGCTGCTGCCTATTATGATCTTTCAACAACAAAAATGTCATCATCTCTTTCCCCAGCTAAAAACCTTTCCAGCAGCTTCCAAGAGTCTTCAGGATAAAGCCCAACCCCCTCAGCATGGCCTCCACATCCCTTCCTGGTCGACTCCTGCCTGCCTCTCTCGTCTCAACCTCCAAAAGGCTCATATAATTCTCGCTGCAGGACCTCAACAGCATCCCACTCTCAGGCAGCTGGACTCCCCCACCCCCTACCCCATTTGTCTGGTTCCCCTTTGAAAACTCAGCTCAGCCATCTTTTTGTCCAGAACCTCTTTCCCCAGGCTAAGGGGGCTTCCAGGGTCCTGCTACATCTGGTGTTTCCACTCTCTCACACCCTGTACCATAATGGTCAGTCTGTGTAGCTGCCAACGTGTAGAGTAAAACCAGCATGGGGACAACTGTATTGTTCTATCCCTCGTTCTCTAGTTCCTGCCATAGAGCCTGGCATGTGGTGAGTGCTCCAAGGTGTTGAATAAATGAACCACAACTTGGCTTATGCTTTCCTAGGCCCATTAGAAGAAATGGATCTCTGACATGCTGGGAGTACAGCAAGGGCCTTGATCTGTGATGGACATCGTGAGAAAGTTTTTCTTTGATTATCACAGGGAATGCTGACTTCCTGGGAAGGGAAATAATAATTTATTAGGCACTGACTGTCTCAGACACTTTACTAAGTGTTTTGCCTTCATTGTCTCATTTTTTAAGTGAAGACACTAAGGCTCAGAGATGTTAAGTGACTTGCCTAAGGTCACTCATCAGGCAGAGGTAGAACCAGAATTTAGAACCCAGGGAGTTAGACTCTGAAGCATGTTCTCTTAATCACTATATTCTACTGTCTCCAGTAACAGCTGTGAAGGGATAACAGAGGGATCCACAGTAGAAGTAAACTCCAGAATCTGCAGTTTCACAGGCACATTCCTCAGCCACCCTTTGGGTTCTGCTGTACCTCACTGCCTTTGTAGAATGCTTCAGCCAGAATGGTAAGGATAGAAAGAGCCAGCAGAACTAGATGGGAGAATCCTGCTATTTTAATGTGATGAGGCACTCAGAAAGCTGGGAATGTTTACCTTGGAAAAAAGAATTTTAGGGAACCAGATATTAATTGAAGAATATGTAACAATTATATAGAGGGACACAGGATTATATGCTTCCACGTAACTCCATAAGGCAGAACTTGGCCAACTTTCGACCAATAAGAACTGTCTGAAGGTGGAAGGCTCTCTGTTACGGGGTAGGGGGGTGGGGAGGAACAAATATGAGAACTCTTGGAATCCCAAGAAACTATCACAGACCCAATTTAGGAAATTCTACACTGTACTGCTTTTGGTGATCATTCTGTCCTAATGTGACAATAAACTCGAAAGTAAACTTACATTCCAAAATCACATGTGGCAATATTCAGTTTTCAGTGGTCATTTTTAAAAAGTATCACATATACGCAATTTCTTTTTAAAACCATAACATTTTTTAAAAAAATAACATTTAAATTTTATTACAGAGAAATAACGGATTCTACAAAATCTAAGTGAGCATTCTAACTTGAAAGAGCCTAAGGGGTGGGTGGGGCGGGAATAAGTGCCTTTCAGGTGCCTCTGAACTCTGAAATTCTCAGAGGTGCTGGATTCCAGAACTTTGGACTGGTACTTGCATTCTGAGCTTGGACATGACAGTCACATTGCCTGTCTACATCCCAGAAAGGCTCTCCACTGAGCAAAAACTGCTCAGTTTGCAGTAAAATACAAGGCAGTATCTTTCTAAGCTTTGAATTGCAAGAATGGCAGGTTCCACCTACAATCACTCTGCCCTGGTCATGCTTCATTAGCTTTTGTTCAACCTCTGCATGTCTGTGAGAAAAGAAAATACAGGGTTGGGAATTAGAATATCAGATGTGGGGGCGCCTGGGTGGCTCAGTTGGTTAAGCGACTGCCTTCGGCTCAGGTCATGATCCTGGAGTCCCGGGATCGAGTCCCGCGTCGGGCTCCCTGCTCAGCGGGGAGTCTGCTTCTCCCTCTGACCTTCCTCCCTCTCATGCTCTCTGTCTCTCATTCTCTCTCTCAAATGAATAAATAAAAAATCTTAAAAAAAAAAAAAAAAAGAATATCAGATGTGGGTTCTGGTTCTGCTACTAGGTATCATTGTGATTTTTTTTTTTTTTTTTTTGGCAAGCTCAATTTTCTTCAAGTCCCCTTCCCTACCTACTTTACAAGGTCACATGAGCTACAACAAGTGCAACATTTAGAAATTAAATCCACCTAACACATGTAAGGCTTTATTACGATTATCTCTGACATCTTCTGGCCCGCAGCTGCAAAGAAGACATCATATTGACAGCACTCTTGGTCCTGGAGAGATGAGTGTGGGTGACAGCGCTCAGTCTGAGTGGGTGTCCTTCCCTTCTAAAATCAGATATAAATGATTGGGGATTATCTGCTGTTTCGGATCATATTTACTTCTAAGCCTGCCACTGAGAAAAATTAACTGACAATATTTAGCTCTTTTTTATTTTGTTTCCCTGAGTCAGATGCGAAGTGTTTCTTCCCACTTTCTCCCTCTTTCCACGTTGAGGGTTTCCCAATGGCAAAGATTATTCCTTTTTTCCGCCATGGAGCTCTCTGAGGATAAGAACATGGGTTGAACATGTTCTTAGAACATGTTCAAGAACATGTACAACCCACAGTCCAACCTGAATGGGAAATCTCTAGAAATGGGAACCATGTCTTCAGGCGCTGGCCTCAAGCCTCAGGTGCAATTACTCAAACACAGGGGTGAGACCCAAGGGATTGAAGCATTCAGTCAATGCTAAACCTAGGTTAAGATGTCACCATTACTTTCTAATAACTGATTTCCTTGGGTGGATGAAGTAGACAATGGGACTTCTGCAGTGATAAAGAGCTCAGAGGGACGAAGGGCCGACAGATCCAAATTTGTACACTGATTTTGCCACTTACTTGCTTTGTCACTGCCCGATTTACCACCCAATCTGGGCCACGTTTCTTCGTCTGTGCCAAAGGGGAATAATAAAACAACGCATCTTCTCGGCTTGTTGAGAGAATTAAATGAGATATACGAAAAGCCTTACCCCAGATTCTGGCGTATAAGTGCTCATTAAAAAGTGGATGTGGAGAATCCTAGGGACACTGTATGAGTTTCGTGGACCTGTAGCTGGAGACCAAGAAGCGGCAAAGCCGGACCGAGCAGTCAGGTCTCCCGGCTAAGGATCAGTGCTCCGCACACCACAACCCATCGCCTCTCAAGAGGCCTCGAACTCCTGACGACCAAGTGCCGCCTAAAGTCCCCAGGGAGGAAAGGCGGCCAGGAGCCAACCTGGCTTCTTACAGCAAAGGCTCTCCAAGAAGGCCTGACGTATTCGGGGTCCCGGTGGGTAGCACACGCAGGCCTCAGGCCTCATTACTTACCCGGATATGGTAACGGTCCTTAACGGCAGCCAATAACGGTTCACCTGTGGCCGAGGCACTGACAAGCGCAGGCTGAGGTCAAACCTTGGCTTTTGGCGCTTCATCCCGAAACCCTAAGCAAGCATCGAACTACAATTCCCAGCATGCCACGCGGCCGCCCGGTCGCGGAGCGTCGGCCCCGCCAACCCTGGGGCCCTTCTTTTCTCAAAACGCGGCTGAACGCCCAGTACTTCCGGGTAGTGCGGCTCCCCCCCATCCAGGACAGCCTCCCTTTATGATTTCTGGGTATTGTAGTCCACATTCTTCCAGTTTCGCGAGAATCAGCTGTTCTTAACCACGGCTCCCTTCGACACGAAAACTACAAAACCCAGACTATATCGCAAGTTCCTCTCGTCCAATAGGAACCCCCCATGTAGCGAGGCGCGGAGGCCGGCTCTCGCAACTCAAGATGGCGGACGAGAGTGAGACAGCAGTGAAGCCGCCGGCACCTCCGCTGCCGCAGATGATGGAAGGGAATGGAAACGGCCATGAGCACTGCAGCGATTGCGAGAACGAGGAGGAAAACAGCTACAGCCGGGGGTAACGATGTCCTCGGAGTCCAATGCCCGTCCAGTCTCCCACAACCTGGGTCTCTGGGGTGCGGGGAAGTCACCGGGAGCTTAGGGTAACCCCACCCCCATATTCTAATTGGCTGAGACATTGGGATCCTGCCTGGCGATTGGTTGCTGTCTTTGTCATTTAGCAGGGTGGGTGCTCAGTATATTAAGGGCCGGAGACATTCAATACTTTTATTATATAAAAGTTCTTCTGTGTAATGTTCCACTCGTGTGCTTCACTCGCGTTCAGGGGAAAGAGCATGTTGGACGATGGTTTTCGATGGCACAACACGAGTCAATGTAACAGTACAATTCAAAGGGAACGTTACTTACAGAGGTGTGTGAACAACGTGAATAGCAATAAATGAATAATAAAACATTTCGCTGCAGCTCACTTTCAATGAGGAAATATATCAGGTTGTACAAACCATAATTATGTTGTAAAATATCACTAACAGGAGAATCTCAAAATACAAACTTACCTTATAAACCCTACAGTGTAATTACTGTATGATAATGTTTTGGTGTATACAGTGCCCGTTGTTCCAAATAAGCTCTAAGTTTCCTGAACAGTATATAATTAGGTCTTCCAGGATCTTTGTTTACTTTGTGAAATAGCCTCAAAGCTTCAAGAAATTGAGTGATGGTGCAGCTTGGACAGGGATTGGAAGTGGGCTTAATACTGCATCTCTGTACTTCTCTTGCCTGCTAGTAATTGTTTGTTACTTGGGCAGAAGAAATTCATCAGGCGTTTCAGTGTTGAGTTCTATTTCCAAATCAGTTTTCATTCTTGTAAGCCACACCCTGTCATTCTTCTTTCTTCATATTGTTACAGTAACTGGTGCTGAAGCTCTGTCCCTGTCTATATTTCCGAGTATGTTTTTTAACGGAAAGTTATGAGAGACTTTTTGACATATAACTTTGGGTGAGTCTGTGGTGGTCTGATTTTGTGCGCGCGCGTGTGTGTATGTGTGGTAGTCCCATTTTCATAGCCATGAAGGCATTTGCAGTATTAGCAGTAGCCTGTAGGTAAAGGTAAAAGGTTGCAATCTCTGGATAAACTTTATTTATTTATTTATTTATTTAAAGATTTTATTTATTTATTTGACAGAGAGAGACGTAGCGAGGGAGGCAACACAAGCAGGGGGAGAAGGAGGGGAGAAGCAGGCTTCCCGCGGAGCAGGGAGCCCGATGCGGGGCTCGATCCCAGGACCCTGGGATCACGACCTGAGCCGAAGGCAGACGCTTAACGACTGAGCCACCCAGGCGCCCCTCTGGATAAACTTTAAAAAAAAATCCACTGCCTTGTAAAGATGGAAGAACAAAGGATTAATTAAGTAGTTTATAATCTGCTTGTGATGAATCCTTAGGTTAAAAGATCTAGCTTTTATGTTCTTTGACCAGCATTAAAAAAAAAATCACAAGAAGAATGTAAAGAAAAAGGAAGTTTGTCAGATCTGGTTTTATAAGAGTGTGTGTTCTTTTGCTATAACGCACAATAGATCTCATGTAACAAAAGCCTTGAAGTTGGAGATTCCTAAGAAAGGAAGAGCTTTTAAAGAGGAAATAGGAACAGGAAGAAGGGAAAGTGCAGCCCTCCTGAGTACAAATCCTAATTATAGATGAGAGCTGTTGAATTCAAAAGTCATTTCAGAAGTGAAAGTAAGGCTTTTTCTTTGCTCTGTGTGTAGTTGCTTTTATTTTTCTCTGCTAAACTGTTGCCCTGACCAGTGTCTATAGCTCTTTAATTGGTTTTATTTCCTATGATCTGTGAATCACTTTGCAAAACTATTTGGCAGAAAGGTCTGTGTTTATAGTACAACAAAATGATAAGCTTAAAAAAATTTTTTTTTGTTTTGTTGTTATTGTTGTTGTGCATGGTTATATATGGTCTGGGTGAACAAATTTATTAGCATCCCAAATCTAGAGGTATGTATAAATGAGTTTGGAGGTGGCAGGTGAAAAACAGAGGACCTAGCTTGGAGGACAGGCTACTCCGGGCACTCAATCTGAAGTGGAGTTAATATTTTCCCATTAATTGTCAGAGGAAATGATTTTGGAAGAGGCAGTGTGGCACGGAAAGAGAACGGATTTTGGGGTTCAAAGCCTGGTTCTGACAGTTGTCCTATAACTTTGGGAAAGTTACTTACCCTCCATTTGTAGGGATTAAATGAGATAACATTGGGAATACAGCCTGGCCCCTCCCTCCTGTTCTTCCTTCACATCTTCCCTATCCTCCTTTCCTCAGCTTGTGCTCTTATCACATACCTCGTTTTTTGTAGCTTTTATAACAGTAGTTAAATAATGTGTGTCCAGTCCCTGCCTCACCTGATTGTAAGGTGCCTGAGTAGAAGGACCATGTCTTCGAGATGCCTGGCACTTACTGGGCATTAGTGAGTATTTGCTGGATGAACAAATGGCAAATGTTAAAATTCAGAGTTCAGTGTCGGTGGAGTTTCTCCTCACTGAGGGGAAGAGTCAGATTTTTCTTACAAACACAGTTTCTTACCCCAAGTCAGTCTCATTGTGAGCCTTACTGCAGTTTCCTGTGAAATACCTACAGAAATCGGGGATCCTCCAATTTGTCCTGGAAGTTTTCCACTGTTTTTTTGGCTTCTTGAAATTTTCTTATTATTACTTAAAATGTTTTCAAAAGTGATGTAAGAATTGAAGGGGAGCATCTCCTTTTGATGCTAATGAGTCTAAAGTACAATATGCAACAAAAGTTAATGATAGTTCAAACTAACCCTTATTCTCTTAGGCCTTCCTCTCAAGATGGGCTCACAGTACTTTACACTAATGAAAGAACCATAATTAAATAAACATTTGATGAGTATAGATTTCACATATACATTGAAACACACATATATGTGCACATGCATACATGCAGTGTATGTATATATTTTATTTTGTGTGTGTGTATTTTTTATGTATCTCTACAGTTTTTCTGTACACTTTTTTTTTTTTTTAATCTACTCAACAAAGGCAGGCAGCATTTTTCCCCCAGTTACTCGCCTGAGATAAGTTACCCTGAGCAACTGAGAGAAGAGTCAGACTACAATAATTTTTTTTTTCCAGGTATAATTTATTTGAGAGAGTGTGTGTGCACGCATGGGTGCACACAGGAATTAGGGGAGAAGCAGAGAGAGAATTCCAAGCAGACTCCCTACTGAGTGCAGAGCCCCACTTGGGGCTCGAAACCAGGACCCATGAGATCATGACCTGAGCTGAAACCAAGAGTGGGACGTTCAACCTACTGAACCACCCAGGCACCCCCAGACTAAGATCGTCTTAATGCTGTATCCCCATGCAGTTCACCATTCATCTGTATGCTTTAATTTGCTTTTTGTTTTTAGTGAAAGGCTTTCCAAGAATTGTTACTAAAGGATAAACCTTATTAGCTGGCAGTAGACTTTAGTTTTGGGTTAACAAACAAGTAAAGTTTATTTGAATGATTGGAACAGGAAGGGACTTTTATATTATTTTATTCCTAGGATTCTTTTAGAGTTTATTTTGCAATGGCATTGATACCACTGAGATGCAGGTAAGCCATCCTTTTGATAAGGATGTCTCTTTCCCATCCTGCTTTCTTACTCCATGGGGACAGGTTAAGAGGAGTTCTTGTAAGTTTTCCTCACTAGTCCTGAGCTGTTATCTCTTATGAAAAAACTTAAGAGAAAACAAAGGGCTTTTTGAAAGGAAATTCCGTAAAGCCAGCCTTACTTGCTTTTATTTTATTCTTCAGATTCTCCGAGAGTGGTTCTTTCCATATTTAGTTGATGGCTTATAGCTACATGTAGCTCTTGGAAAGAAGAAATCTTTTTCGTCCCTTTTTCTTAATTTCTCCCTTCAGCTTTTGGTTTTTCAAAACTAGATCGAAGCAGAAATGAAAAGAGAAACCTCATCACTGATATCAAATAAGTGTTCTAATTTTATTTCCCAATTAAGTTGCAATTAAAAAAGAAACTAATCAAGAGCTGCTTCAAAGAGGAGACTGGAAAGCAGAAGGAATGAAAAGCAAATGAGAGCCTATTTCAGGGAGACTGCTGCTCATGGCACAGCAGTTTTGCTGATTTTTCACATTGTTTAACTAATGTGCTCACTCTAAAATTTCCCAGCTTTACCAAGTCTGCGCTTAACCCTTTGCCTGCAGAGTCCTTAGATTTGGGGACCGTAGATTTAGTAACTTTAGGAGGAGCTTCTTCAGCTCTTCTCTGTAACTTTGTCTGAAATCTCTACCCTGCAAGCCTCTCTTCTGATTCCGCAAGGAAGGTGCTCTAGGGATTGTTGCATTTAAGGCACACAAAACATGGTGTTCTCTTTTGAGAGCACCAAAACAAACAAACAAACAAACTTAAACTAAAATTCTTTGACAGGGTCAGTACTTGCTTAGAAATTTTTTTCTACTGCTGCTGACTTTTGAGAGGCAGCTGAGGGGGTTACACTGTTGTCAAGCGTTTGATAAATGTTATCTGTTGTTATTACTACTATGTGCTGGCCAGTGTGCTAAGCCCTTTCCATGGATTATCTCCTAGACTTCACTTAAAAAGACTGATTTATCTTTGGTAGTGAGGCTTGGGATTTTCGTCTCTACCTCTTCCTTTGACACCTTGAAGGATCCATTCCGAACTTGCTGGATTTCTTTTCCCTACTGCCTTGATTTCTGCCTCCTGACTCTGCAGCAATGTTGAGTCCTGTCTTTGGATCCATTCAGTAACCCATGAACTTTCCCAGACTAGGGAGCCAGTTGGTGATGGAGATGGCTGACCCCTTTAAACTCTTCTGAATGGACAAGTATCTTTTGCAGAGGTCATTCTAGTGTGTGAAATTTCTGCCAGCAGTGAGTTGTTGCTCAGAAAATTACTGAAAATGGTCTCTGAACAGCATTTGATTTGACCTTGGAGTTGCCAGGTTACAGCGTGGCTCACCAAAGCAACCCAGAGGATGTGGAATTTACATTTCTGTCTCAGTCCCATTCTAAAT